CACAGCGTGATGAAAAATATATTTCATTCGAAAAAACATATTTTCTGGGGGTCTCATTTTCCTCGACTTTTTTGTCCCGATTTTTCTTCCCCGACATTTCTTCCTCCCCTAATTTTCCTCTCGTCAGTTTCTCCTATGCTACTTTTCCCACGCCAATTTTTCCCCAACTTTTTCCCTTTCTAATTTTCTGATTCAATTTGTATGTTTTGACGTACATTTGATCAAAACAGTTGTTGATTGTAATGATAAGTGGGGATTATCTTTTTTTTGTAAGTCTCGACCGAATTACGATAACCCGGTCGTTGATTGATTTTCGAGTGTGTATTGATTTTTTTAATGAGGGGATAATCTTCTGCGTCTTGTTTCATCGATTAAGAATTGAAAGAAATTAATGAAATTCGTAATTGAAATTGTTTATTTGTCTATTTTGACTAATTGAATTGCATGTAATATTCTGTATTTAATTTTTATAAACATGATTATGACTTGTATTAATTTTTTTTCATTCAGCACTTTACTGTTCGTAGGGATTATCATTTGCCCATGTATCGATGGGAAAAAGGAGACAATTTGTTTTTGGAAAATCTGTCGGGGAAGAAAGGGACAAGAAAGAAATAGCAATTGGAAGAAATGTCGGGGAAGAAAAGTCGTGGAACCTTTTTTCAGGCATTCACCTAAAACTTTGAATTGGTACTCCTGATAGAAACTGGGGACGGGAGAGTAGGGCAATATGGATTTTTGCCCTACTCTTGAGAAAAAGCTCAAGAGAAAAAATCCAACAGACATTCGAAATCTATTGACTTTTTCTTATCGAATATCTAATAGAATCAGCGTAAAAAATAAATAAAATTTTTCAATAAAATTCCAACAGAAATCCTACCGAAACCCGATAGAATTCCTATAGAATTCCAATAGAATTTTCTATCAAATTCGCTAGGTTTTCTATTGAATTTTTTCATACATGGATATTTGGGAGAATCTGCCAAGTATTGAATAAACTGTATTGAATCGATGTGTTGTATTGAATTTGCATAGTGGGAAATAGTCCTGCCATCCTTTATTTCGAAGTCAGATTCAATCCGTGAATTGAAAAAATTTTAAAATACCGCGTGTTCTCTCAGACCCAACTCCACGCGACTCATTGGCCAGTTGTATTAATTTCGATGTAAAAAAAACTTCATCTTGTTACATCTTCCTCCTCTCCTCACATCATTCGATCATGTGGATGATTGTGGTAGAACGACTTAAACAGAGGGAAAGGAAAATAAGTCTCTGACCCATATTGAGAGATTCTAGTTGCCATCGATTCGTATTAAGCCAGCTGTGGAATTTGTTTTGATGGCTCTTTTAATTAGGGGAATCAAATAGGGTTTTAGTGTGATGACCCCTGCGCTCGATTGGCCATCGAATCTGTGGTGATTTATTGGCCATGATGTGGACGAGGTGGGGAATAAATTTTATTGACAGTTTACGAGAGTTGTTCGAAGCATTCTAATTTATAGTGGATATTTTAGGTTTTTTGTGCGTGAATTTCGGAAGGTTTATTGGTAAATCATGGAGTTGGGATGGTTTATTGGAATTTTTTATTACACCTGAGGGATTATACTCGGTGGAGAATTATTTTTACGAGTGAGTGGAGATAATTATGGTTCCGAATGAAGTGAATGTAGAGGCTCAAGCCTCATTTGACCCTCATTTTTTGCCACATACGATAATATGAAATTTGTGAAATTATTGGTGAAGTCAATTGCAGTTACAAAATTATGTTTTTTGGTCGTCGATTTGACCCATGATATTCATCGCAATTCGTTCTGTGTCGTTTGACCCATTCATTTGACTTTCACAATTTGACCTATAATATTTAACACAATTGGTCAAATTGTGAAGGTCAAATGAATGGGTCAAACGATCAATTGTGACCCATAATGTTTTTATGTTTTTGAAAAACAAAAACTTATAATCAAATAAGGGATTTTGACCCTCTTGACCCTTGTAATCTGGCTGTACCCTGAGACTTATGGCCCTTATGACCTTAAAGACCCCAAGGGTCCGCAGGGGCACAAAGGTCACCTCCTTACCTAAACAAGGGATTTTGACCAATTGCGATCCCGGGCACGGGTATGGGTCAAATTGCGAAGGCCAACCGGATAGGTGAAATGATATGGGTCAAACTGACCTCCAAAAGTAACATATGGCGCTAAAACTCATTCAAAACTGTTTTTCTTCAATCTTAAAACAGATTTCAAAAACTTTATCGCAGGTTTATCGGTGTATAATGGAGTTAGGATGGTTTATGAAATTTTTTTACTACATCTCAAGGATTATATTTGGTGGAGCATAATTTTGACGAGTGATTATCGGCGGATTCAATGAAATATCGCGATTAGAGATAATTATGATTTAGAGCAAATTTAATCTATGTATTGATTCTCATTTGACCCTCATTTTTTGACACACACGATAACACCCAAAATTCTGAAATTATTGATGTAATCAAAAACAAAATCATTGGCCCATGAAATTCATCTCAATAGGTCTCATTTCATTTGACCCATGCATTTGACCTTCACAATCGCAATAAACTATTGTGATTGGAGATAATTGTGATTCAGAGCGAATTGAATCTACGTATTGATTCTCATTTGACCCACCCGGCTGACCTTCACAATTTGACGCGTTGTGATAAATATTACGGGTCAAACAATGAAGAGCATCCCGGTGGGTCAAATGATATGGATTAACTTGATCTCCCAAAATACCATCTATCGTTAAAACTTACTGAAATCCGTATTTCTTCAATCACTGAAATAAAAACAAAAATATCTCGTTTATCGAATCTCCAAACTGAAATTGTGACCATCCTTAATTATCCTCAACCAGTGCACAGAATATATATCCCCCCCTGGTATGTTTTCTTGCTCATGTGCGAGTCTCGTAGAAACGTAGAAGAAGAAGAAGGAAGAATGGAATGCATCTTAGCCGGGGTTGTATATACATTATACCGGCGATTGAACGCAGCGCTCATTACGTTAATTGGCCGGTCTCAGGGTTTTGCGAATCCGATACATTATAACCTCGAGGACGCTAAAGCGAACGCATATGGAAGTGGAGTAATTCAATCCCGTTGAAATAATTTCACTTTTTTTTCACTTTTTGTTCCAGGTGATCGGTGCGTTCTGGAAGCTGTTTACGAGCACGAATTGCCGCGTTTTCCTGCGTCACTCGTATCTGGACCATTCGGCGCTGCACGTGGTCGTGATTTTTTCTGCGTACAGTGTATCGATGGTACATTGTTGTTTTATGAACAAGAGAGTCATACGTTTGTACAGACGTTGAAAAATCGACTGCTGCCGGAACCCATCGCTTATGCGCCCAAAAATGATGTTTTTATTACCACAACTCCAGGATGGTGTCTCGAGTGCTACAGGCAGGTTTAGAATTTTCGACTCGAAAACAAATCATTCGTCGCGTTTATTGCGATGGGTCAAACGGTGTGGGTCAAATTAAACTGACCCCCAATATTAATCGCGAATGATTTTTTTTTCGAAAAAAAAATCTTTCGTCATGTTTATTGTGATGGGTGAAATGGTGCGGCTTAAATTAAGTTAATCCCCAATATTAATCGCGAATGATTTTTTTTAAATTATTCGTCATGTTTATCGCGATGGGTCAAATGGTGTGGGTCAAATTAAATTGACCCTCAGTATTAATCGCGATGTGTCTAGTAGTGTTGACCCAGGATTTTTATCCGACTGGGTCAAAGTATTCGCTTCAAATTCATTGGACCCATAATGTTTGTTACCAAGGGTCAAAATAGTGACGGATGGAATCAACTCGATTCGGAATATTCATCACGATGGATCAAATTGTGAAGGGTTTCATCGTATTAATCAAATCAATTTGACCAGTGATGTTCATCATGATCGGCCAATTCGATTAAACCCACAATAATGATTGCGGTGGGTACAACTGAGTTGACTCATATGTTTTGACTTATTTGATTTAACCCACCACGAAAAATATTAGAGGATAAAGCTTTTTGACCCATAGTATTTATCTCACTGGGTCAAATGATTTGATACAAATTTATTTTGCCTATAATGCTCATCACGGAAGGAGAAATCATTAGGGTCAAATCGATTTGACCCAGAACATTTATTAAATTCATCAAATCATGAAAGTCTACTATGCGGGTCAAATCAAAACATCGGAGCTTTATGGGTCAATTCGATTTGACCCACATAGTTGACATTCATGATTTGATGAGTTTAATAAATGTTATGTCAAATCCATTTGACCCTGATGATTTATCCTTCAAGGATGAATATTATGGGGAAAATAAATTTGGACCAAGTAATTTGACCCAGTGCGACGAATCCTATAGGCCAACAAGATTTAGCCCCTAATATTTGATGTGTTTAGCTCAGGAGAAGAAAATTATTTCGTCCAAATTTATTTTTGTTACAATGTTCATCACGGAAGGACAAATCATTGGGGTCAAGTTGAGTTGACCCATAATATTCATTAAACTCATCAAATCATGAAGGTCAACTGTGTGGGTCAAATCGAATTGACCCACAAAATTCCGATGTTTAACAAGGTTCTAGAACACTCTTATAAAGCGAAAAATCTTGAGAAATTTCTTCTCCCCAGCTAAATACATCAAATCTTAGGGGTTAAAACTTGTTGACCCATAGTATTTATCGCACTGGGTCAAATCACTTGGCCCAAATTTAGTTTTCCCGTAATGTTCATCACGGAAAGGCAAATCATTAAGGTCAAATTGAGTTGACCCATAACATTCATTAATCTCATCAAATTATAACGGTCAACTATGTGTGTCAAATCGAATTGACCCATGAACGTCCGATGTTTACCAAAGCTCTAAGACCACCTTAAGAAGCGAAAAATCTCGACAAATTTCTTCTCCCAGCTAAACATCACATATCACTCACCTTTTTTATTGGCACTCATCCCTTTATGGACGCCATCAGCAGCCGCAAGTCCGCAAAAAATAGCCATAGTAATTTGTAACAGTAAATCCACCTGTAAACTACTGAAGTATGAAGAAAAAAACGCGCATGTCCCGGCATTTTTCCGCGAAGATGATTGACATGAAACGCGACTTTTCTGTCACTAACATGAAATTATCGGGTTCAACAAAAAATATCTGCTAATAGCAACGCCTACAGGGACAACTATATTGACTCCGAATGCAAAATAGCATAGCACAATCTGTATCTTGTTTCTAATTGGGTCGGCATCCACGATTTAACCCACCATAACCCAGAGAACTGGTGGTTTTTTGTGTCTCACTCAGTGATTACATGGAATTGTTTTTCCTCTCACGCGGCATCGGCAAAGAATTTTTTTCTCTCCTCGCACTGGTATTTAATGGGCACGCGACACCCAAACACTCGGACTTGTTATTCCTCAGTGTTCTTTTTCACATTTTTCTTTTTGGAGTTTATCTCGCGTATTATATGATGATTTGTTTGACTCGAATGATTGTGATACAGAGTTTTGTTTTCAAACCTCTGTTTTCACTGCATCATATGGGTACACAGTTTGTCTGAGATACTGAAAAGAGAGATAGTTGAGGGGCTGAGGGGAGGGAGAGGCCGGAGTACGCGCGTAAGCATAAATAATTTATGCCGAGCGCACTTACAGCCGTTTCAAATAGTCGAGAGTAGTATTCCCGATGAATAATGTATGGTACGAGGTATGTATAACCATATACGATCTGGCTGAGAGGACGACGCTGGGAGAAAAATGAAAGATCATTTTTAGAAATTCGTGGGGGGGGGGGGAGTAGCGTTATATTGCGATATGGGGGGCTGTTTGGATTTTTTGGAATTTCAGAGCAATTTTATTGGGACATTTACGGAATTAGGACATGAATTTCGGGTCATTGAAATTGTTTTTTTTAAATTTTAGTGTGTCTTCGAAAATTGGCTTCTTGTATTTGTTTTTGCTTCCGAATGGAAGCTTTGTAATCGCTTAAATTTAAGTTTACAATTTTTTACGTTAGGGTAGCTAAATATAGTCTAAAACGTCCGAATGTGCGATTTTTAGATGATTTATGGATGTATGTGGTGTTTTCGCTTCCAAAAGGAAGCATTCTAATCGTCCAATTTTCACATATCTGTCGCCACATTCTCGGTGGTCAATTTTTAGAAAATTGAGTAATTAAGAGGCTAGAGTAATTTCAAAAAATCTGAAATTTCATCAAATTATAGGTCTTAATGAGGACTAGCTTTGTGCAAAATTTCAGCCCGGTCGATGAAATAGTTTTTGAGTAAAAGCCATTCGTTTTTAAATCGTTTTCCGCAAATATCTTCAAAACTAGTGGACTGATTTCAATTTTTTGTTTGCAAAATATTCGTTCCGATGTCTTCTATCTAAATCAATGAAAACATGTACATCTGTTCATGCAAAGTTTTCGAGATACTCTCGTTTTTTGATAAAAAAAAATTTGTAATCACTCTAGCTTGTGCAAAAATCGAAATATCAACTTGTTTCTTCATTTTTTTTTGTATATTGTCTTGTAAAGGATCAATCGAATATCATGAATTTTTTCACGAATATAGACCTAAATAAGCTTTATTTAGTGACACCAATTAAAATTAAATTTTTCATACAGATTCAAAAAAATTGATATTTTTCCAAAAATTGATTTTTCAACGATCACTCAAAAAATTGTTACCAAAATGGAATTAATCATGACTAAAAAAATTGATAACAATACCCTCTTGATTCTATCAGAATATGATAGGGGTCGCACAATTCGTTGTTAAGTTACAGCACATTGTTTATACGATTTGAAATAGAAAATCGTTTTTTTCATGATTACTGAAAGAATCATCAGTAATAGCGATTAAATCAGGGCTTGAAAAGTATATTTCAATGGCTTCTTAATGGATTTGAAAAATGGTGAGAACAGCACCATTGCTTATCAAGTTACACAATACCGTCATGAGTTTTTTATATCAAAATCTCGATCTTTATTAAACTCAACTACCAGTCTATTATGTTGAATATTTATTCATATTGATTCATGGTCCCGACTAACTTCTGACAGAACCTGGGTTAAACTCTGGCTAAATCCTGAATAAACCCTGATTAAATCCCGGTTATACACTGATTAAACCTTGATTAAACCCGGATTGAAAACGAATTCGAGTCTTGAGAGGGTCTGAATGTAGAATTACTTGGCAGAATGAAATAATACACAAAATTTTGATGATCTTTCAACTGATGACAGTACTATGACATGAAAAAATGGAAGAAGAGAATAGTGAAATAACAATCTAAAAAAACAGAATCCATTCAGAAGCAAATTGTTAATTTATTTATTTAAAAAATGCTACTGTCCACTTGGTTTTTCTTTTATGAAAAGAGCGAATGATGGACGAAGAAATTTCCGTCTTCTATTCACTTTCTTACATGTTTGACTATTTACATGTTTGATTTACGATTTCTTCAATAAAGTATCATCGAATTTTCATCTAAATGTCTTTATTTTAACCGAAGGTACCAGAATATGGCGGAATTCGGGAGGACTGCGGAGGAGAGGAAGATGAAGGGAGAGGAGAGATCGCTGGAGCCAGATTGGACTTATAATCTGGGCGAGGCTGTATTGGGAATCGAACCGGTGACACTCACCAGCTTCGAGGTCGGTATCGTCGTCCTCGGGGAGAGGAATCTCTACTGCTTCCGCGATAACTGCACCGGTGTCAAATACGCCAAGAGACTCGATTACACACCACTATGTTTTCATGCTTATGTAATTGGTAAAATGATGATTCATTACTTCTAAAAATACACGGAAGTGATCATTATCTCTTCATGAATAGTCATAAGATGTCGCATTAAGTAGAAGAACGAGGAATGGAACATCGCGTGAATTTTTAGTCCTAGGGACACGAGGGGACATTTTATGGAGTTAAGCACTTCATCCACCATCGGCTCAAAAATTATTCAGTAGTAATACCCCAAGAGCTTCAAAATTATCGGGTATTTCCCGATAGCTTCGTTGCAAACAAATGAGGGTGTCAAGTTGTGCAGGTTAAAAAATCCCGAGCGCTTGAGCGAAGGATTTTTCTGTAAAACTTGGCACGATGGTTTGTTTGCAGGGGAGCTTGAGGGAAATACCCGATTAATTTTGAATCTCGAGGGGTATTTGGCGGATTATTTTTCCCAATCGGATTTTGGCCAAGCAGAATGCAGTGGACAACATCAGGAGGTGAATTGGGGAAGATTTGAACAAATTATGTTAATAGAATAATCCGATTTCCATAGACTGTCAAATATAAGATTCTATCTGAAATGAGCCGAAAAAATGAAGAGCTACTGCGAAATATTCAAGAGCTAGGCCGAAATATCCGAAATAAAACTGTCGGGTAGCTTCAAATACTGCGCTCTGATTGGTCGAAATCCGATTGGGAAAAATAATCCCCGGAAATTCTTCATTCAACTCACATGTTATCCCCACAAATTTCATTTACCTACTTGAAAACTCCCAATTCTTTTTTTTCCGCACCGCAGAACCGGACGGCAAGCTGATGGTTCTCGTCGTCGCCGACACGGACACCCTGCTGGTTTACGAGGGCACGACACTCAAGTGGTCCGCGCAATTGCCTTTCACACCTGTCGCGATTGCGAGAGCCCATTTTCAGGTAAAAATTATTAAAATACGGTCTGGCAAGTGTTTCAATATGCCCCATTCCCTTCTGTCTCATTCAATAAACCATGTCCTTCCTCTCGTCGTGAAATAACCTGCGATGAATTCAAGGGGCTAATCAAAATTATCGAAATAATTAATTTCGAATTAATGAAATCATTTGAAGTTAACTCCACTGCGAGAAAAAATTAGCTCTGTCACAAAACTATATTTGGAACAGATTTACTTGAGGGAAATTAACCAACTTGATGGAAGGAATTTTAATATCTTTCACAAAAATTAAAAGTTATTAAAAAACCATCTATGGATGCAAGAAATTATCCTCCTGTACAGTAAAATTTCCCACACCGGAAGGGTTTTTTTTTCTTGCACCCATCTGAAGGTCATGGGTTTGAGGCCATTGGACAGGTGGATTCAAGGGATGAAATTGCAACTATTCGGAGTGCCAGGAGAATTTTTCAGTCATGATTACAATAATATTAAAATTCACTCATCACTAGTTTTGTATTTCAAGAAAATTTATTGGGTATGAGATGTCAATCAGGGAGGTTATGACAACCTGAGTATACACTGATAGAATCATTCATTTATTCCAAACGAGATTCGTTAACTATTAACGAATGGTAGAGTTGAATATGACCAAATGAATCTTCGTTAATAGTTAACGAATGGTTCACTTGAATGGCGAAAGTCAAGTCAAACAAGGCTCCGCAAATATACATTCGTTAACTATTAACGAATGAATATTTGGTGAAACCGAATAGACCCAACCTCCAACCAAAATCCATTCGTTAACAATAACTAATCCGTTCTATCAGTGTAGAGACGCCACCGCAAGGTGGCGCAGGAGCCGAATACAAACACCAACGACTCTACATCTAGAAGAAAAGGCATAACTCGGGGAAATGATTCAAGAGGTCTATCTTGGAGTTCCAATTTAAATGGAACTAACTTAATTTTGTGGGTTAAAAAGGTCTTATTCAGTTCCTTCCGTAAGAAAATACTACACGGAGAGAAAAGTTAGATAAAAATTACCGAGAAAATCGTGGCAAATTTTACTGTATGAAAGGTAATCGTGGAGCAAAATGTAATTTAATGAAAAAACACCTGTTTGTGGAGGATATTTTACGGTTCGTTTGGGAAAAAAACACATCTGTGGAGGCAAAAATTATCTTTCTGTACAGTAAAATTTTCAACACTGGAAGGGTTTTTTTAAATGAAATGGAAGTGTAATTTTACCGGACGCATTCGCTAAAAAATCATTCTCCATTACAGAAAAATTATCCGCGATATTGAGCAATCATTCACGTTCACTGGGATAATTTTTGATAGAATGTAGGGTAAATTTTACAGTTTTGGCACAACTTACCCTCACGTTCATTAAATTTTCCCGGGCCAACGGAGAAAATATCACCATTCGTCTCGCAGTTTTACCCGATATAGGGTGAAAAAGTACTGAAAATCGAGTTCGCTTGACTCGTTCGATAATCTTTCTCCAACGTTTTTCTCTGTATGCAATCACGTAAAATCGACTTCACCTCAAAGTCATGCCATCGCTCAATGACGAATTAATTTTCGCTCCCGGTTAAATTTTCGGAAGTGGAATATTTTTCAGCTCCAAAAATAGACCAAGTGATATCACCAGCAATCACTCGGCTGACCCCTGAAAGTAATCAAGACCTTATAAAGTCGCCCATCTCGTATTTCCCCCTTTAATAAAAATCTCCACGAAGACACAAACGAGTCCGTCAATCAATCCCACCGAAACCCGTGTCCCCAGGAAGAAACTGTCGTATCAGTACGAAAGCCCCGTCAATTAAATTCACTGACAGCATCTGCCTCGGAGCGTGAAAATTGCAAATGAGTGCATTAAAGTAGAAGCGAAACACCCAGCGGAGTAAATTTTATCATCAAGCCATAATTTATTTAATTTGATCGTCTTATGAAGCAGCATAAATTCCCGAAGTGACTCGCGGTATCTGTCATAAAAGACTCAGTCCCAGAGGTCCCCATCGGGAATCACCCAATTGTGAGGCGAAAAAAATAAATGAAGAGATAAAGACCCGGTCAACCGGGTGGAAGATTCCTTAACGATAGTAAAACCGAGAGCGAAACGCAATCGCGTTGATGGGGGCACTCGGTGAGAGACCGAATGCCGAACCGACAGCCGACCCCGTTCGCGATAAGCTAATGGCCAGCTCGAATTTTTCGTCGTGAACTTTATGAAAAAATAAAATATAAATGAACGGCCCGGGGAAAAAAATTCGCTGATAGATCCCCTGGGTCTTTCCCCGAATTGTCCGGGTGATATACGGGGAATAAAAAATTATCAACACTGAAAAAATCACCGGCCGTGGGAAATTAGGAAACGATTTGCCAGCATTCTCGATGAAATCATCGTCTCTCTGGGTATTTCCTTTACTTTCGTTTCGTCGAATTGGTGTAATTATAGTCTCGCTTCATTTGTCTCAGCAGTTGGAGGGTGTCGTCGTCATTCTCTCGGACGAGGGGCGACTTGAGGCCTGCTACCTCGGCGCCGAGCCGTCTCTCTTCGTTGCTCCGCCTATTCATCGACGGGGATTCGATTACAAAGCCGCTGAGGACGAGCTCGTTGAGCTGAGGAAAATAGCGAAGAGCACTTGCAATACCAGTGAGTCGCGATTATTAGAGTTTTTGGAAGTTCCGTGGGAAATGTTGGCTTGTTAAAAATGCTAAATTGTTGACATAGGAAATTTAATGGGAAACGTTGGACATATGTTTTTTGGCAGTGTCTATTCGCACGCTTCACGGTAGATTCTCACTCACATCTTGTCTGGCATCTCTGCTATGAACTCTGCTTTTCAACTCTGACAATTGAATTGAAAAGCAGAGTTGTGACAACATTGTCGACTGGGGTCTAGGAGTCTCCCCCGCTTAAAAAATTATCCTTAGAATCATTTGCACGCCATTTCGCGACTCGCTCTTTCATTCGGGCTCAAAAAAACATTCACATCATGTCTGATATCTTTGCTATGAACTCTGCTTTTCAACTCTGACAATTGAGTTGAGAAGCAGAATTGTGACAACATTGTCCAGTGGAGTCTAGGAGTCTCCCCCGGTTGGGAAATCACCCTTAAAATCATTTGCACTATATTTTGGCACCCGCGCCTGCACTCGGACCCCATTAGACAAATATGAATATTGTTAAGAAAACGTTCACATAAAATGTAAAAACCTATTTATTTCATCATTTATTTGCACTTAGTCAACTATTCGTCAACTATTTATTTCATTTTTTATTTGCGTTAATCTAGACTGATATTCGTATTCAACGAATTAATATTTTGAGAAAATTATTTACTAGTCTACTATCTGCATATAGCACTTATCAATTGATTCGATATGTCTAGTTTATTGTCTAGATTTAATTTGAGAAGTAAAAGTTAAGGGTCCGTGATCTCCCGCATATCCACGGTAGAAATTACCTTGAATCCACGGGAAAACGTTCCGTATATCCACGGTCAAAGTTACCGTGGAGCGTGTGAATAGACATTGCCATGTTTTTTATTTTGATTAATGGTAAACAAGTGGGAATTTGCTCTTGTCTTCGTACGGTATCGTTATTTTTGGTAATAAATTAGGAATATGCTTCTGAATGGTCATTTTGCACGTCATTTTCTTCTATGGAATATAGTTCATTGTTTATTTGGTGCTATTAAATTGAATGAGATTTATTATTAAATAATTACGTCAGATTTTCAACTTAGCTGAATGTTACCGTTATCATTATTCTTATTATCCCTTTCTTTCATACAACCGATTGTCTTTTTTGCGGTCCTATCGCTCCCCTCAGCCCTTTGTTACTTCACGAGCCGACATTCCCGAGTGGAAATTTTAGTCAGTTCTTGATCAGTTACTGATCAGGTTACCTTATCAGTTTTTGATCAGGTATGTAACGCTATAATTTTGAATTTCCACTAGGGTTTCGCCGCCTACCATCATTAGGCATTAATTAAATTTAATTTTTTGAGAGAAAAAATTTGTAACTTCCTAGCCGGGAATTGAACCCCGGACCTCCCAATGTCGCGTCGGGTGCTCTTACCATCTGAGCTACCAGGACATTTACGAATTTCACTCTCAATTTGAATCATATCCCGAGTGGAAATTTCAGTCAGTTCTTGATCAGTTACTGATCAGGTTACCTTATCAGTTTTTGATCAGGTATGTAACGCTATAATTTTGAATTTTCCACTAGGGTTCTCGTCCTACTACGTGGCATTTACTTCAGGAGCTATATTTCCGATTCACGTTTCGGTGTTTATATTTTCGTTCAACGGCTTCCTAGTTATTGAAATTGGCTTTTTATCGGCTCTGCATTCCACAAGTTTGTCGTCTACATAAGCCACGTTTAGGCCGTTGTTGTCAATCATTATGAATTTATGATGGGAAATTCGAATTTTGCAAAAATCATCATAAAAATAAAATCAACAGATATAGCTGTCGTAATTAACGTTCAACTTTGACAGTGTGGCCTTGAAACTAACATTTTAAGTTATAATTGAATGCATTTGAAGCGTGATATCTCGAGGTATCCCCGGAATTCCAATTTTTTAAAAATGCAAAATTTTTGCAAATTTTTATATAAATCAAAACAACCATTATTACTATCGTCTTCATCGTCGAACTCGGTCAAAAGGGCATCCAAAAAAGTTTTTTAAGCCATTATTCAATGAATTCGAAAAAATTGTTTAGCTATCATGAGACGACCGATTTTTGGAAAAAATAAAAAATTCCCAAAATTATCGAATGAATTGAATTTTAATTAGTGTTGATGGATAGAGCTCAACAATACTTACATTTGAGGAAAAGAAATTATTTCATTCCATCGATTCATTAGCGAACTATTGAAGAAAACCTGTATGTTACACACATTCGTCCACACACTGTATAAAAATTTCGGATTTTTTGGATCATAACGATTCAACGTAACACAAAAAATCCGAAACTTGAATTGGAACGATTACAAAGCTTCCCTTCGGAAGCAATTGATGCATTGAATGAGATTAAAAATTTCCATTTGGAAATAATACTTCATTGTTCAAAACGACCAATACAATGATTACATAAAAATGAAAAAGAAGAATGAATCAAATGAAATAAAAAATAAAACGACCGTATGTAGCATTTTCCATGCAATTATTGTTTCACCCAATAATAAATTTTTACGGAAAAACAAAAATTTTTCTCTGCGGAAAAATTAAAATTCGATTTTTTTCCATTTCCATCAATTTTTGTGCTTTAGGCAAAGAGATAGCCTCCGCTACGGTGGAATCTGAACTCCTGGTGACGGTCGATATCTCGAAGGATCTTGAGAAATCTCCGGCGACTGGGGAGAACGAGGGAGAACAGGACTCAATGTGTCGGATCAGTATTGAGGTGTCATCGTACACTCCATTGACAAATGTTGAACTTAATATCGAAGTTTTGCGGCCGTTGGTGGTTACGGATGGCTACCATATATTCCCAACTTTGCGTGAGTAGTTGACTTTATGTGAAGAGGTGTTGTTCATTCCAGGACCGATAACTGCCGCAGGAGTACGGGTCAAGTCGCTTTACTTTTACTTTTCTGAGAAAACTTACTCATTAAACTATTTTTCAATAGATCATGAATACTTAAAGCGGCTGAACTATCTGGACTTAATTAATCAGTTATTCCTTCCTAACATTAGATTCTTTTGACACACTAGCGCCACCCTAGTGTTGATGTCCTTTCATTATCCCATTCTTCCTTTTTTCAATTGTTTGTGAAGATTCTCATTGCAAAAACCAATACGATCAATGAGAATTATATGTCCCAATTTATCAGCTGTTAAATTTTCATATTACAATAAATAATTTGTTCATGTTCTAATTCCTATGCTCACGGAATAAGATTTTAATCATCATTACAATTCAATTCCTTCTAGAACATACTTTAGAGTGTGAATTGCTGGAATTCAATGTTTGTTGATACTCTGGTAAAAGTGCGTGCCCACACTGTTATCAATTTTTAGTTAGTAATTAAATTAATCTGTAATCACGGTAATTAAATTAATCTGTTGTTCATCTCATCTATATAATTCCGTGCTTAGAATATTGTCATCTCGTATTTTCATCACCAAATTAAAAATTAAAACTTCATTTGGAATATTGAGTCACAGCTTCTTTTTATTCATATCAGAAATTTTGTATTTGGATATTAATATTATTTGTTCAAAGTGAAAAAATCGATCGTCATTTTCACTATATTGCATTCAGATTCTCCTATCCTTAACGTCAAAAATGTAAGATAATCTCATAATTCTAGTTATTAATTCTAATCAACTTTGTTGGAAGAAAACCTTAGTAAACGCAATATTAAGAAAGTAGAATTATTCTATTTTCCTCTGACCTAAATGATTTGGACAATCAATATGATTCATTTATTCATGTTTCATGGAATGGTATTCAATTCTCTTTTGTTTGTTGGGCGGGCTCCATGAAAATTCGACGCAAGACGATTGTACTCATGAAAACCGCCTTACTTTCTCCATTCGTTCGAGATATCCACAATGTTCGAGATCACATTTTTGATTCGAGATATTGCCAATGCTTTTTCTTAGAAAGATTTGTACTCTGTGATAAACATTATCTCATTTACTTCAACGAGTTTTAGAAAAATCCACATTAAATTATTTTTTTTCAAAGTCTCCCCCAATTCACGAGCGCACGTGAGCTAACATTTGCATTGCTCCGCCTAATGAAGCTACTTCCATCACTAGCAATCACTATTTTTCGCTTTTCCCTCGCGTAAAATTCATGTACATTTCCGCCAAAATAATGAATGAAACACCTTTTCGTGATAATTAATTCAATTGTGGCCCGCCTCAACTGCTTCCCCCAATAATGATCTCTTCCACAATCAGGTGAACGTCAACTAATTCAAACAACAATCTACATAACCGAAGCCTTACCACTGCTGTCATCAGAGGCCCGAATAACAGCATCGTACGAGACTGACAACGGTGGCCTTCGTGTCCTCCAAAAGCCCATCCAATTGCCATTGAGAATGATGCTGCGTGCCTGTCCACCCGAGAATAACGCGTCCTTCTCGGTCACGATTAAGTGCCTGGATCCCCTCGTAAATTTCAGCCAGCTCTTTCCCGGTACATAATGCCCCGGCTAATTTCAATATAACCCGTCGGTCAATGGTACCGTTGACTTTTATGATGATTTTAATTTTCGAGGGGAAAAAGATTATAATGAACAGCACGAAATCGAATTATCATCATTAAATTATCATTTATTTTCTATCGCCTGGGGATTTGAATTATTCAGGAGAATCTTCTTTTTTTTTCATCGGTTCATTTATTGATGGAATTTATGCATGAAAAATAGCGGAATCAGTGTTCAGTGATGAAAACAATTGTTGTTCTCGTTGACAGAATTCATCGTGGACACCACACAGCGTCAGTCGTCAAATGCACTTGGTCTGCGTATTTTAAATACCAATCACGTTGTTACGATTGTTGCTGGTACAAATACTAATCGGTATCGAGTACAATCTAACGATCCACTGTCTGTGACTGTTGTTCTCCAGCAGATGGTCGCAAGACTTAAATCTAGATCACCCGGAAGTATTTTAACTTCGATCGGACAGAACCATCTGCAACTGGTTCAGACCCAAATCGAAGCTCACTTCGCCAGTCGTCAAAGGGTTAAAATCCTATCGGTGAGTTGGATTTTGTTTCCGAATGGAAGCATTGTATTCGGTTGATTGGAAGTATCCACACTGATAGAAAGGATTAGTTATTGTTATCGAATGGGTTTGTTTGGAGACGAGGGTCTACTCGGTCCCACCAAATGTGGACGTCCGCATGAATAGGGACCACTCTGTCGATTCTAGATTCCGAGATATTCACGTTTTTCTCTTGCCAACTCCCATTTAAACCCATGTTAAATTATTTTTTCTGCCCTCCGGCCGGAAAGCGTCAACTTCCTGGCCGCTGCGCTAAAGTAGTTGCCACTTTCCGGCTACGTCGAGCAGAAAAATAGTATACACACCTTGGCCAGTAAAGTAAGGAATGTCTCAGATCACATGTTTGTTGACCTCGGCTTCGCCTCGGTCGACAATTACATGTGATCTGAGACATTCCTTACTTTACTGGCCAAGGTGTGTAATCTACTATTTAGATCTTCGTTAGCGTCGTCACTCTTTACGCTATCAAGTTCATTCTGGGCTCTAAATGTTCAGAATCAGATCAAGATTATGGCAATATACATAACTCCAATAGTGCCAAAGTGGTCCCTTTTCATGCGGACGTCCACAAATGTTGATTCGTTAATAGTTAACAAATGCACATTTAAGGAGTCTTGTTTGAATCGATCTTCACTTTTCAAGTGAATCATTCGTTAACTATTAACGAATATTCATTCGGTCATATTCAACTCTCCTATTCGTTAATAGTTAACGAATCCCGTTTGGAATGAATGAATCAGTCTATCAGTGCAGTTTTTTGTGTCAGGATGATTGATTGCGGCCTCAGGAGCTTGAGTATGCTATTTATGGATCATGTCCGGATGTATGCGAGTTTATGTGGGTATGTGACCGATCGTTTTTCGACGGTAACTGACAAAATAATTGTTTAAAGAATCCAATTGTGGATTAAAATATTCTTCGCAATGCCACCTTGACCGAGTTCGATCCTGAGATTTATTGCCTCTGTTGTTGAAGGAATTTATTTTGCAATAAAAATTCGGGCGAAAGTAAAAGATTTTAACGTTGAGGCAATGTTGGCTGCCAACGTTCAGCCAATGTTGAATTAAATGAATCGTTGAATTCTATTTAAAATATATCGTCATAGGAAGAATTCATTTTGAACACAATGTTCAGGGAAAGATGAAAAATTTTAATGTTGCGGCAATGTTGGCTGCCAACATTGAGCCAATGTTGAATGCAATTAATTGTTGAATTATATTTAAAATATAGAGTCATAGAAAGAATTTATTTTGAAACCAATATTCAGGGTAAGATGAAAAATTTTAACGTTGGGGCAATGTTGTCTGCCAACATTGGGCCAATGCTGAATTCAATAAATCATTGAACTCAATTTAAAATACATCGTTATAGACAAAATTGTATTTAGAAACCAATATTCAGGGAAAGATGAAAAGTTTTAGCGTTGGGGCAAAGTTGGCTGCCAACGTTGAGCCAATGCTCAATTCAATGAATCGTCGAATTCAATTTAGAATACATAATTATAGGCAAAAATTTATGTCGAAACCAATATTCAGGGAAAGGTAAAATATTTTAATGTTGAGGCAATGTTGGCTGCCAACATTGGGCCAATGTTGAATTCAATGAACCATTGAATTCAAGTTAAAATACATCGTCGCAGAAAAAAATTATTTTGAAACCAATTTTCAATTTAAAAAATTTCAACATTGGGGTAATGTTGGCTGCCAACATTGAGGCAATGTTGACCTCAATGACTCATTGAATTCAATTTAAAGAACATCACAGAAATTCCAATCGAAAGCAAATTGATAATCTATTAGCAAAAACAAATTGAATATGTTGCGACGAAAGCAAGTTCCCACTTGTTTTTGTTTCTTGTAGATGTTGGGGCAGGTCGATTGAATGAAATATGGCACGAGATAAGGTAGCAACAGGTCGTTGACTCGGAATGCAGATATCAGGGAAATTGATGGGTTATTGATAGCGAAAAGTGATTCGCTCGGATTTTGCCATTAAATATGTCAAAGGGAGATAGTGATCACGGATTTTGCTTGCATTTCGGGGAATTGTTGATTGATTACACGCAATATTGCCTCGAATTACGACATCGAGACATGCAGTCTAGACATTCTAGATGACTAACTCCAGGATCTTCTGTTTCAACACATATGGACATTCAAATACAAAAAAATAAAATTGATTCTATCAAGTCATCTTCTCCGATCAAGCGCAGCTGGAAATACTGACGAGAGGATAAAGTATCACAAGCTGGTACTCTATCCTCCGCATATATTATTTAGTAAACATCGATATGAAGTTCGTGGTGAGACCTCACAGGCAGCCCCTCCCGGGAAGAGTGAATCTCATGATACCGCACTGAGAGAAAAACAGCAGACTTCTCAAACAAGTCTTACTTGTGCCAAATAAATCGTTTGTTAGAAATGATGAAAAAGGATTTTTTATGCCAAACATGCAAAGCGTGCGCCGAGAGTGAAAATTTATTACAAAAATTGATTGCAAAAATTGATTTAGTCTTTTCAAAATTTTATTCTCTGTGCACGCAAGAAATGTAATTTCTAGCACTACTTTTTCGATATTCGATCCTCCCATACGTATTTGCTCCCGGTAAATGCTCGTTTTATATGAAACGAGGAATAGTTTGTCGTTTCGGCTGTTCAATAATCACAGACAAAAAGGAATTCTTAAATGAAATAATAATAATGATGGGACAGCAATCTTGTAACGTAGGGAGAAAATATTTCTTGATAAACTTCTCTCTGAAAAAGATATTTTTATCCTGAAAAGGCAGCGTGGTGTATGAATGATCCGCCTCGTGAGTCAAATATTTCATTGTTGTATAAAGCACAGTAATTATTCATGTTTGATGCTTACAAATTGGAACCAAACAATTATTTTTTTGGTAATTTTGAAATAACGATTTTGTTGGCCCAAACAAAACTTGTTTTAGAACTTGTTCGTTTTTCTCTCAGTGCATAAATAGTTTAGAAATACGATCGGAGCGGCTTCGATACATTCAATTGATGTTAATCTGATTTGAACCGGCTTACTTTGGATATTTTCAGTTTTTTAATTATTCAACTAAATTGTATGGAAAAAATGCATACCAAATCAGTATTATCTCAATTAAATTTCACAAAATGTTGATATTTTTTCAAACATTTCCATCTTAAAAATAAATAATAAAACTTGTTTGCCAAACGGTGGATTATTTTTCATGAGGTGTCAAAAAAATTCTTGATTTTTTCACATCTAATGAAAAAAAAATCAGATTTTAATCTTTGATTACAATGGAAATGTTGATTTTCACATAAAACACTGGGTTAAATCTTGACTTTTAAACATTTCTTCTTTGAAAAACCAAAACGATAATTAAATTGAGAAAAAAATTAGAATTCCGAATCTAATCGAGTTTTCTGCAATTTTTTTTCAGTTTTCAATATTTTTTAAATTTACTGTAAGGGTAGAGCAACTGTGATCCTAGTCTAGTCACCAAATGCGACCCTCCGACTTGGTCACTTTCGCGGGGATTCCCCGACATATTATTTAGGGTTTAGCGTTGCCGAATTCACTCTACACTGCCCGGGCGCGTTTAGCGAGTTTCCGGCAACGTCGCGTCATGGGAAATTTCATTTAAAAAAATATGGGAAAAAATAATTCATCTGTCCGAAATCATTTGTTTCCTCTAGGAATTTTGTGAAATATGCTGTTCTAAACACTACTATAATTTTTTAGATACTTCAATTGACAAAGTAAAATTTTTTAAAAACGACGCACGGCGGGGTTTCTCTCATAGGGTGGCCAATCTAGGCCACCATGTTAAGTCTTAACATTTTGGTGTACATGTTCCAGAATGAGGTAGCTTTGTTGACAACTCAACTTCGTAACATCGAACGGAAGATTCTACGAGGAATTCGGGACAGGAATGTTCGATCCCTTGGGGCGACAGGCTTGCCAGTGCTTCTCGAATCAACTTACCGGGCAATGTTCTTCAATCTCCAGGAGTTAGAAGCAGCACAAGCTGTAAATAATTTCATATATTGAGTCTTGAATCTCAATATTGAACCGTCAGAAAACATTTTAAAAATCTGAAAAAACAGGAAGTTTACTATTGGAGGAAGATGGACAAAATAATTAAAAAACTGCAATTTTTGAAAATTACGAGCATTCCCTCTGAATAATTTCTAAACAATTAATTTTTCACCATAAAAATCATTTTTTCGGAATCGTAACTAATTTATTCATATTTAAAATTTTGCCAGAAATCGATTGAATGCCAAAAAAATAAGGTTTCCCCAAATTGAAACAATTTCAATTATTTATTTATAAACAACGAATGTTTAAAAAAATAATCGTTTTGTGCAAAATGTCATTTTAACGCTGAATATTCATGATTTTTTCTAAATTCTCTCACACAATTTAATTAACAAATTTGATGATTGGAAATGATTGAATCTACACTATTAAAAAATTTTGTCTGAAATTTCCGGTACACTTTTTGGAATTTTTTATCGAATTTAAATACCACTGAAATTTTAAAGAATTTCGTCATTGAAAATTCAGAATTTCATTAAAAAATCAAAGAGAACATTTTTCCCTGAAAATAAATAGAAAACCAGAAAATTTCGGTAAAAATATTCCTGAATAGTGATACTGAATGCGATTTAGGGGGAAAAAGATTATGAAATTTCAGATTTCACTGAAAATTCTATGTAATTTGGCACTTAATACTCACATTAGATTGGAAATTCAAATAAATTCAGGAATTCTGGTCTTTCTGCTGCTGAGAATTCTGGAATTTCTCTGAATTTTAACTGAAACCTAAAATTTCATTTTTTTCCCCGAAATCGCATTCAGCGTCACTGTCCTAAGAATTAATAGTCAATTGTCCATTAAATTTCATTTCAAACTATAAAAGATACTTGGATATCCTCAAATAATTCAGTCAGGACTTTTTGTCAGGTGAAAAAATTCCCTCACCCCGTCCACATCCCCAACCAAAAAATCTACCAACAAAATGGAAAAGACAAAAACCATAACAAATACAGTCTATTCATCGTCTTTGATGTTTTCCACACATCTGCACGTATGTTTACTCGGAAAATGTTAGCAAGTGGCAAGTGATGAAGTGAAATATCTTGGCTTTTCTCACTCCCCAGGAACGCAAGAGAGCTGGTCATGGTTTACAGTGTGCTGTGAGGTTACTGCTCCTGCTGATACGACCCAATGTAAACGACGAAAAATACGCGATACTCGAGTCGGCCATTGGTTTCGAGCCACAGCTGCGTGACGATGTGGTGTGTATTTCGAGAATATTCTCCTATAATCACCGATAACAATAGCCAGTAAAGATTCGCCGTTGATACCCCAGATAAAAAGTTTATTGCAGATTTTATTATTCCCTTCGTACATGCCCTCTCATTTAAACTCACTTCATTTTTTTCACTCGCGTTACGATGTTCGTAGCGAAATGACGAGGCACGCGTGGAATTATATATAGGATGGACATACAGGAATGTAACACGCACGTGTAATGGATTTGTATCGCTCCTGTGGATTTAACGAGAAATGCTCTTTTCATTACATATGAAATGAAAAACATGTCCATTTCAGTGAAGGGTTCTTGCAAAAAATAATACCATCTTACTAACGGTGACTTTTATGCTGATTGTAATCGAGAAATTCTTCTACCCTTTATCCAATTCATCTTGGATTTTTTTTCGGGGTTTTAATTCTTTCGTGGGTGGGGGTTCCATGATTATTTAACACAAAATGAATTGAACACACAGCAAATTCAATACATCATGAATGCATCAATACATACAGTCAAAACATAACAAATGATTTCACTTGCTCGTTGTGGAAAATTCTTTCACATATGAATTCACAAATTTTGTCGTGATAAATCATGTCATTGGTGAATTAATGATGTTTATCCAAAATCGCAAGGATTAAAAAAAATGTTTTTTTTTCAACTGAGAGATAAAGTTATTCCCTTTATCTTGATATAAATTTCAACCCACCAACCCATGTTTATTATTTATAAATGGACTGGACAAAATGCACCAAATGCGCGCGCTAACCTACGCTTATATGGGATAGAATCTTTTAAATATTTCCTCTTTTTGCCCGGGTACCCCTAATTTTTCTCTTGCCATTCGATTCAGTATAGTTTTGCACATTATTTTCTACTTTTATTTCTATTTTTACAGTCTTCTAGTCGGTGAATTATAAATTTCAACATAAATCCCATAAGAGTCCGTGTATAAAAAACAATTTGGTTATTCATGTCTGGCGAGACTATTACGATTAATTTTTTTTAACATCAAAGAAGTTAGTTTCATATGTTCTGCATATCAGCCAAAAAAATTATAGAATTTCCATTGAACATGAAAGAATAAAATTTGCTGAAAATGACAAAATATCCTTAACCAGATTACTTGAGAGATGATCAAAAATGGGATCATATCGAAAGAACAAATGTTCGCCACCAATGGATTCTCCTTCAGCTAATCTCCTTTTAAATTATTATGTATATCTCAAGCATCAGCATAACTACTCCGTTATTGCACCTAGTAGTACTCATGCTAACCATAATCATAGAAATTCCTGAATGTGACTTCTGGTATACTCAATACAACAAATCTCACACTTGGCGATTATCAATGAGCAAATTCCTGGACGCAAATGATATATACTTGCATGCAGAAAAATCGTTTATTTAAGGCCTACGTGTACTATCTTTCGAACGTTATCTCGATGTTTTTTTTCATCTTTCCTCATCTGAAATTGTCAATTAAGTCCTGGATCATGCAGAAGTTTTGCAAAATTATGAATGAATAACAAAAAAAAAGTTGAAAAAATTCTTAATTTTTTCAAAGAGCATATTTAATTTATATTCGGAATAAGTTGAATAACAAGAAATTGAAAAATTTATCTCTGATTTACGGTGACAAATGGCGGCCTGTCATACCTAGCTGTCACTTCCCATGAGGAGTTAGTATTTTGTTATCCAGCATGGAAAATGACAGCTAATAGATAATTTGCCACAGCCAATCAGATATTTGTAATTTCCACTTTTTTCAACTCATTATGAATCCCAATTAAAAAATCTCTTTGACAAAGTTCAGAATTTTAAAATTTCTTTTTATCATTCTATCATAATTTTTGGGAATTTCTACATGATGTACCACTCAATTGATAATTTTGGATTACGAAAGACAAAAAAAATCCAGATAACATTCGAAAGATAGTACACCCGGGCCTTAAACTAAATAAAGTTAATTCGACACGCACGAAAAAATATAATAGAAAAACCTAGCGAAATCGTTGGAAAATTCTATTGATTTCTATCGAACTTTTCATTAGTTTTCCTCTCGTTCCTCTCTGACACCCATTTTCCATCCAGGACTGGGAGGAAGTGGCAGACGTAGCCCTCTTCGCACTTCTCCGTGCGACCTCGAGGAAGCCGGAAAACGAGCCGTCGACAAGACAGCTGACCTGGAACAAATTCGACACTGCAAGGGACCTCGCCAAGCTAAAAAAACGCCTGGTCCATGCAGTCGAACGTTTGAGCAAGCCCTTGGAGTCGGTTCAAGAGAATGAGCCGGGTGATAACGTGTAATGATCGCCGAAAAAGTGGTCGGAGAGGGGTTACCGAAGATGGCGAGAGATTATTCCATCTATCGAGATCACGAGCGATTTCCACCCAGCGTCCAGCCAACTCGATAAATCGTGTATCTGGGCAGTGGTACGAGCCATGAAAATGCGAGAGTGGAGGTACAAGTGGAGGAGTCAGGGCTTATCGCGCTGAATCTTCGGCGGTATGCTCAATTACGCAGCGATTGGAAAACAGAGGAATATGGATAACGATCCGGCGGGTCTACCACCTACATCTGAGTGAATTATGGGGGTTACGAGATGACAATTTTCCAGTGGATAATCATTTTTTTTTTAGTTTGATATTGTTGTAGGAGAAATAAAAAGATCTATTCAATAACTCTTCTTTCTGCTTCCGAATGGAAGTATTGCATTCGTAAAATGTGAAATTTTCATTTCTTTGTGTGATGATGATTAATTTTGGTCTCAGGAAGTCGAATATGCTGTTTTTAGCTTTGAAATTATAGCCTTAAGGAGCATTTAATCGAGGTTTAATCATGGTTTAGTGAGGGTTTAGTCGGTATCTAGTTGGGATTTAGTCGGATGTTAATCAGGTTTTAGACGGAGTTTAGTCAGGGTTTAGTCAAGGTTTAGTCAGGGTTTAGTCGGAGATTAATCAGGGGTTAACCAAAGTTTTGTCAAGATTTATTCAATGTCAAGTTTAATTTTAATTCAGTCGGCGTTTGTTAGATGTTTAACTAGGGCATATGGAGCTCATGTTAGACATTTGAAACATTTAGAACTCATATTGATGTTTCATGACTGGTATATCTTCTTCGCCAATTTACCATTCATAAGCAAATTGCTAATTCATTAGCAAAAAAGTTACACTGGTCTTAATCCAGTTTAAGGAAAACTATTCAGGAGAAAAATAAAATTTAAATAATTTACTTACGACGGAGGAGACATCAACATTGATGTATCAGGAGCATGAACACTCAAACTGTTTAATTCAAAATAAATTCAATTCACTAAAAAATTTTATCTGAAATTGTCGTTAAAAAAAAACTATTGAATGTTCCTGAGGTCAAACTTCAGGAAGGACCTTTACTAATCTGAAATTAATGCCAGAAACCCGAGTAAGCACTAATTTGTTTTAATTCGATTAATTCATTCGGAAGGAAATTGCTAATTTTTAGCGAAAAAAATATACTTGATTTAGAACTGTGCAATGGGCCATTTGTTATTCTCCGTTGGAAAAAAAAATCAATTAATAATTAAGTAAATTCCCCTGAAGGGGAACAAGATTGAATTTCTACTATAGTTGGAAAGTCATCGAGATATACTGCACGAAATTTCACTAGATGAATAGAATTATTTTCAACACTAAAATGACAAAAATAATCCTGACATGAGATTTTTCACAGAAATAATTGGATACGAACACTGTTGAAAAATATTACATTCCCCCTGATTCCAGAAAATTTTCCACCTCCTCATTCCCCAGAAAATGCCAAAACAAATCGATAAATATACTCATCACGTTGTAATTTATTCCCTCCGGAAATTCTTCGAATTAATTCCATCCTGAAATCGCTTACGAAATAATCCCCGGGAAAATGCTGAGAAAATATCGTGAATTCATAAACGTTTCGTCCTACGCAATTATTCGGAATAATTCCTAAAATTAGTGCGCCACGATATTGAAATAAAATACCTCGTCAATTGAAACGTATGAAAAATGTAAATTTACCATCTCCATCTCGGTGTTTAACCGTTCTTTATCTGCTTCAGTGGGAGGTACAGAAGTTCCGCTAATAAATAATCGTTATACACCGGTCAAGAGCCACGAGTGTACCATCGATGATCTGTTATTGCCCGGTATATCGAATGGCAGTTGACGTGGAGGGAAGAAATATACATAAGTGGGAAAAACGACATAGCGTACAAAATTGACGGTTGAAAGCGCCAAGTCGGCGCCAAGATCACGTGCGAGGAGCTATTGAGGAAATGAACGGTGTACGGATAGGTACCTATTCCACCCATCTACGTATATTTTAAAATCCGATTCACGGAGGAGTCGCATATGCGCGGTATACACAGCGGGAGAATAAAAATACCAGATCAAAGGATGAGTTAAGGAGAAGGAGAGGGGTAAAAAAAATGTTGAGAAAAAAGACATTCGAAGATGTTCAATTGATCATGCAATCAGCAAATGTGGCTGTTTGCTGGTCGGATGTGTGGAGGAAAGCGAATCACGGAGAAGTTCATAGTCGGGAGGTTTTTATGCAGTTATACATTTTGAGTCAACATTTATTTCGTGATTGTTGACCCATTGGGTTTGACCCTCATGATTTAATTGTTAGTATTTGACTCATATGAATTATTAGTTACTCCGCAGGGTAGATCGCACTTGAACGACTGAAAGGGGGGGCCAAGCCCCCCCCCGTTAATCCCCATGATATCACTGATATTTCTCTGTATCGAAAAAGATAAAGGGTGTTTAAGTGAGATTCAACGGTTGCGCGAGGGGGCCAAGCCCCCCCTGGATACGGGGTTTAACGCTCATGATTCGATTACTATTTAATCTATGTGAGATCGCTGAAATTTCGCTCTACCTAGAAAAATAGAAGGGATTTAGGTGAGATTTTCGTTCCTTGTGACGCTTAAGGGGAGGGTCACGAGGGTCAGGATGATTACATAAGCTCATGTGGATGAATATGGAGTTCAGAAGATGTTAATGTGTGTCGGGAGATCGATGAAGTCCGTAAGAAACAGGGGATCGATATTGCGGACTCAAACGGTCACCAGGGGGGCTCCGCCCCTCCGGTATTAGCAAACCCCCTTATGAGAAATAATTCACGGAGTCAACTGCAATCAATTACAGGAAAAAATCGATACATCGGCCTCAAACAGTTGCGCGAGGGGGTCAAGCCCCCCGCCCAGAACAGTGGATTTAACTCGCATGATTCGATTATTGCTGAATCCATATAATATCGCTGAAATTTATTTAAAAGAAAAATAGAGACTGTCTAGGTCAGATTTTTTTCAAGTGATGCTTAGTGTTGAGGGTCAGGAGGATCATATAGGGTCAGGTGGATGAATATGGTTCAGAAAATGTTTATATATGACGCGAGACTGTTAAAATTCATAAGGATCGGGGAATTGATATTGCAGACTCAAATGGTCACCCGGGGGGCTTAGCCCCCCCCCCCGGACACGGGGTTTAACTACCATGATTCGATTACTGCTCAATCCATATAATATCGCTGGAGTTTCTCTCTATCAAAGAAAAATAGAGGATGTTTATGTCGATTTGTTTTTCAAGTGATGTTTAGTTTTGAGGGTCATGAGGGTTAGGAGAATTATATAAACTCCGATAGATGAATATGGGGTTCAGAAGATGTTGATGGGTATCCGGAGACCGATGAAGTCCATAAGGATCAGGAAATCGAAATTGCGGCCTCAACAGGTCACCCGGGGGGGCTAAGCCCCCCAGTGCGAAATCTTTACCGAAATCAGTTTTACTCACGAAATCCTAATACGTGATCACCTGGGTCAAATCTCATGTGTCAAACCATACACGTAAAATCACAATATTCTCTCCTCCATTGAAAACATTGTTTTCAATCAAAAAGGCGTGTTGTCATTCATTCCCCGAAATAACTGAACCAAAAACTTTTTCCAAATCCATCACATCCCGGAATCGATCCCCCGATATCGATCTCCATAACCGCGCAAGATCAGTGCTCGATACCCACTTCTCTCCCTTGAATTCCCCCATTTTCACCTAAAAAAAAACGAAAAACCCACTTTTTCACCTCGCGGGACGAGCCGGCGCCGTCTCTCTCTCCCGTGCGGCGTGTGTGTGCGCCCGAGTGACGGGAATAATTGGAGAATAAAAAGAGTACACACGCAGCGCGGATGCATAGAATCCCCGGTTTTGCCATGGAATAGTAGTGGAGGCCCCCAGTGGTATTCCCTGATACTGATCTGCTCAACCCAAGAGGTATATAAAATGTAGCGTATGGACTATGTACTCAACATTTTGCCAAGTATATACAACGGAAGGGGGCGGAGGAGGTGGAAAATATTCCATATGTGTATGTGTGCTATGTCAAGGGGGGGAGGGGGGGGAGGGCACTAGGCGCATATAATCCGGCGCCGGGAATAATGAGTGGACACGCCCGATACGTCGAGTTGTAGGAAAAGGAAAGAGTTTCAAGAGAAGAAAAAAATTGAAGAAAAGGAAAAAATCCGTGCATTGCTGGAAGGCAAAATACTAACAGCCGCGGAAAGGAGGGGGGGGGGGGGGNGGGGGGGGGGGGGTGGTGGTGGTGGAAAGACGAAGGAATAGGAGCGTGTGGTGGTGCCGTCGGGACCGCTATCTCACCAGCGGCATCCGGAAAAGGGAGTGCGAGGGTCCGCGAAAGAGGTCAGGGTCCGTTTTGCGAGCACTGACGCTAAATTTCGCGGGATTTTCTCATTTTTCACGCGTGAGATAATGTGGATGAAATTTCTTCAGCGGTTTCGATGATGTGTTTTGAATCGTGATTCTGCTCGGCTTTCCTTGTTTTTTTTTATTGTGAAGGAATTTATTCTTCGTTTCAATGAATCAGATGATCGGGGGATGACGAGTGAGTAAAAACGCGATTTTTCCTGTTACGGATTGAGTTAATGATGGATGGAATCCGATTGTGCGGATAATGATGATAATTACTATTGTGGCGTTGGGAGTGAATTATTAATTATTATTCGAGCTGACGTTTTGCAAGTTTTTTTCTTCAGTTTTTGTTTTGTAGTATGTTTTACCGTTGTATTGTTTTATGCGCATAATTTCAAAACAAATGTTTTGAGCTATGATTGAATTAATTTGAAGCATGATATTCAACTCGCCAACCCCCATATGACCTCCAAATGATCTCCATGATCCTTATTCTGACTCTTGTGACCTTTAATCTGAACCTCGTAAACAACATTATAGCCCTCGTAACCCTTAATCTGACCCTTATATGAACCCTTGTGACTTTTAATCTGACTCTGTGATCGTTATTATGACCTTTGTGACCCTTAATCTGATCCTCGTAACCCTCATTCAGACCCTCATTATCTCGTGATCTTTATTATGACTGTTGTGACCCTTATTCTCACCCCTGGGACTCTTAATCTGACCCTTGTGACCCTGATTCGGACCCTCATGACCCAGATACTGAACCTCATAAACCTTATTTTGAACCTCGTGACCCTCAATCTGATCCATATTTGGACTCTTGTAACCTTTAATCTGATCCTGAGATCCTTATT